TGGGTCCACTATCACGCTGCCAAATATCTCTTTTGCTTCCTTGCGTATTTCCTCAGAGTCAGTCGTTACGAATATTTTATAGGACTGGGAACTGCTCGTAATATTTTTCAAAAATGCCCATGCATTCTTTTGTGTATTGTTCGCTTGGAATAGTTGTCGGAATTGCAAACATGCTAATTTTGACTTTATAGTCGGTTTTGCTTCAGATAATATAACTTGGAATTTTTCACTGAAATAAGGTGTCATTTCGAAGATAGTGTCGTATTGTCTTTTGAACGTCTTCTCAAAAGTAAACTCCTTAAAGCCGACCCCATATCTCTGCCTAATTGTTTTATGTAAATCTTTGTTATATCGAAACCCGGGGAACATGTCTCCGTTCGTGTGAAATCTCAGGACGTTTTCATGGAACGTGTCTGACAAGTTTTTGGTTTTCTGAATTTCTTGCAAGAAGCCGTTGTTGTCAATCAAGTTAAAGCGTCTTGTTGTCATCCCTTTTCTCTGGGGAATGTTGTCAGCCCATCGTAGAGGCGGCCTGGGTTGTAAAAACTTACGTAAATCACAAGGCCAAGTGTGTTCTATGATGAATTGTCTCCCAGTGAGGACGGACCAGGCAAAGGTGGACATAATTCCACGGAGTCTGTCTCCCCAACCTCCACATAAGTGTCGACATTCATACACCACATACTGGTCGGCTGTACTGTTAGTTGGCACAGCAGGGACCTTAATCCGTGACGAGGCGTTCTTCGTCTGTGAAATAGCTCCTCCATATTTACTGGCTTCTATGGAGACAGCCTTATAGAAAGACAGAGAGATGTACATGTATAGATATTCCCCAGACGTAAGGGGGTGGACTTCCAAACAAGATGTATCTGAGAGGATATTTTGGCTCTTTTCATATGTAAAGACAAGAGGTAAAGTCAAGGCAATGTGTGCACAGATGAACTATATACATACTGGTTTTCCTCGTTTTTTTTTTTTTTTTTTTTTTTTTTTTTTTTTTTTTTTTTGTCAAATGTGCATTTAGCGAACTGAATCTGCCTATACATTTGAATACACACATGCACCAAAATCGGGACAAGCAATAGCTCAACACCTGGTCATAACCTGTGGGCATATATGTGTCATAACCTGTGGGCATATATGGGACGAAGAGATCCAAGATATCTTGTTCCTCCGTGTATTTATTATTTTGTGGGCACCTCTTGTCTTTACGTAACAGATAGACCCCGAGTCAGCGAGGGTTATGTGGCAAACACGAGTGCGTAGCACGAGTGGATGTCATATAACCCTCGCTGACTCGGGGTCTATCTATTACATAAAGGCAAACGCCCGGTCATAACCTACCTATACTCATCGTACTTTGGGAGTTCACCCCCTTGACACGTAATAGTTTATAATACAAAACCTGGGCAAAGCAAACACATCGATTAGACATGAATGATGTAATCGAAATGATGAGAACTACACAACATGTGGATACAATTATTTTGCGGTCGTTATAGTGAACAGACTACCTAATTCCTTAATTACCTGTTTCGCATACAGCGTTTTAACTGCTTTGTAATCGTAACGTCCCAAGACTTGGAACATATACATCCAGAGAAGTATTCCACCGGCTGTCACTACCAGGACCCCGGTCAGGATGTGCTTCCTTGCTGGCGCCATTTACGAGTGCTAACTGGTGCCTCGTGACTCTAAAACTACGGTACATCCCGGCCTGTGAATACTTCTCCGCTGGAGATATAGGTCCCTATGGACCAGTCATACTACCTGAGGCAAAGAGTAACATCTATCACCTGAAGTGACAACTATCGTGTAGTTTATTAGACGTCTTGAGACGAGATGACGAACGTGTACTTGCCAAGAGTTGAGATGGAGAAAAACATAAGCTATATACATGTAGGATCTAAGCACACCGAAGATAGGCTAACCATTCCCATTTCTTAAAAATGATGTTGGACGTTCAGGACAGATATCTAAAATTATTTATGTTACATTGTTCTTATAAGTATTGTTTTCTTATTATTTTAAAGCGCCTAGATATAACTTTAGATGTTTTAGTTAATTGGTGCTGTTGAACAGTTTCAGTTGCAGTACCTTTTCAATAAACACTTGTATTCTCCTTGCTAAAAAATTAATTACTCAGAAAGTAGAGGAAAGCAAAGGAGGGGGTACCTGAGCTACTGAAGTTACCAGCACACCTGAGAGGTGATAGGTTGTCATACCTGTCACAGCCCTCATTTCCCTGCTGAAGTCTGACTGGTCTGTAGAAGAAATGGTAAATTTTAGCTACTAATTTTCCTATAACTATTGACAGTGGTTACTTTGTTTTCTTATTGGAGTTGTTTTTAAAAGTTGAATATTGGGACGACAATAATTTATCTTATCAAAAGACACGATCTGCAGGGGTCACATGTTGAGTAGCCATATAATACATTATAGCCTCTATGTGATATCGCTATTCGCAATACGCGATGCTTTCCAGTAACGGTGCCCAGGCCTCCGTTACTCGAAATCATCGCGAATTGCGACCGAGCGCAAGCGTCTCGATCCCATAACTAGGAATTTACTGGGCGATATCGCTTTAATATCGCAATGCGCGCTGCTTTCGAGTTATGGAGCCTAGGGTGTCCCAACATTCTCTTTCTCACCACTGCGCATTCCAAAGTTTGCTCATTATCATACGAAGTTATATGAGGCAGAGTTGTTCTGTCTTGTGAACATGAACACTGGAAGTAAACAACTCTGAACTCTGTTTAAAGAAAAGGGGTGCCTCCCTCGCTGTTTTTCACGTTTCATACATGTATATAACCTTAAATCAGTGAAAATATACACGTACTAGTACACGTATGTTACTTTCACTTTGCTCTGGGTAAATTTCTACGCCTTTCTTTGGCTGTTTTTCACATTTTATACATGTATATAACCTTAAATCAGTGAAAATATACACGTACTAGTACACGTATGTTACTTTCATTTTGCTCTGGGTAGATATCTACACCTTTCTTTGGCCAGTGTCATCCTTATAACTGCCCCCATGTCAAAGTGATGTTTGCCTCTCGGCTGACGCCTCGGGTCTGTCTGATATGGATACGCCCACTGGACACACCCACTGGACACACCCACTCCCTCAAGCTCAAAATGTGGTAGTTTAATTTTCAAACTCGCCCTAGCTCCATTCTAAATGTCCACTCGTGACCTCCATTCGGTCTGACTTTCAACAGAGCTGAAACCCATCCATTACTTTTATAGTGAATTCCATAAAATCTCTTAGTAGAATATCTTAAATTATTACTTAAGAGGCACAGGCGCCTACAAAGCCAGAAGACGTATCAGGTCATTGTCACTTAACACAACAAATGCCATCAAACTGTTTCAAATAGTATAACTTAAAGAAGTGACATAGGGTTTCGTTTTATTAGTCCTAGAAATGGTATTTGTCGCTTACTTCCTGAGCAATAGATATCTACGGCCGTTACCGCCAGTTCTCATTAGAATAATAATACTATTGTACGAAATATAATTACTACTAAACTGCTTTTGGCAAACTTTAAAGAACTGTAGGAAAGGATACATACGCCAAGTTTACGGCCAGAAATTGCAGAAAATGCAGTTTTAGAGTTTATTTATTTATTTATTCTATTTTTTATTTTTTGCAGACCGAGTGAATAATTTGGATTATACTTTGTCGCGTGGACTTAATTAATGTTTTAAAAAAATGGTTATAGTGATTCATATGCGTTTCAGGAAATCTAAGCTGGCTTGTACGTATCTTTAAAAAATACCAGTATGTTGGTTAGCGCCTCGATCTTTACTCCAAAGTTTTCTGGTTCATAACTGAACTGTAGTTGTTGCCATGATATAAACGTTTTCCTGTCGGCAGCAGTGAATATTATTACTGTAAAGGATGATTTACAATTGGCCCATTCCGCGTTACTCTCAAAGTTATTTCTAATTAAAGATTAAAGATTATTTTCAAATACGGCGTCAGGAAGTGCGGGAACCAGGCGGCTCTATCAACAATGTCACATAGCTCTTGATACTGCTCAAAATTTGGACGGTGCATTGAGCGTTTGTGACTAACGCGGGAAACTTGAACTAAACGCTGTCGATGGTTACAATCCTATAACCGCGGACATGTGGAAATTCGAAACCGCAGAATTCGACAGTTATCGGTTTTATGCCCGAGGTTGAAAAATACGCTGTGGTTTGATATCCATGTGAATAAGGAAGGTAATCAATAACCATGTTAATTACATTGAAGAAACAGGTGCTCACTGAGGTGACATTTTCTAATATATCTGTTTGTTTTTCAGTCTGTCCCAGTGTCCCAACATTCAGTCACGCCGCCCATAACAGCACGTCAGTGATCGTGGGGTCAGCCGTGGGGTATGTGTGTAACCCTGGGTACATCTTCAGTGCCGGGGTGACGTCTCAAATATCTGTGTGCCAGGATTCGGGCACTTGGCTCCCAGTCATTGCCGACTGCATAGGTACGGGTAGTATCTGTCTGATGGAATTATAACATTTATGGTATCGATATGAAAGTGTACTTAGTTAGGGTAAATGTAGATAACAGTAGAGGAAAGCATGCTGTGTGTATTTTTAAGTTAAAGTATCTTAAAGATGTATATGCCCCCCCCCCCCCCAGACACACACATTAAATTAAATTTTGTATTGTCGTTAATGTAATACTGCATAAACTTGAAGTACAATCGCAGTATTGAGTAAACTTTTATAATATCACGATCGTCATGCTAAATACAGCTTGCATGGTATATTACAAGTATGATTATATTGTACATACTTTAATTTATTGTATAAACCTAGCCTGTAATACAAGAATCATATTATATTGTATGAAGAACCATGACATTTTATAAATAGTGTAGGAGCCAATATCACAGTCTTATAGCATAATTGTATCCTAGTCTATATCACAGTCTTGGAATTTCAGAGATGAACTGCACCGCCCCTCCTGCAGTAAGCCACGCCTCCATCCAACCCTACACGTCAGTCATCGTGGGTTCCATAGTAACATATGACTGTGACACGGGTTACCAGTTCTCTCTCGGTGTAGAATCCATGTCCATTGCTTGTAATGAAAGTGTTCTGTGGAATGACACCCTCCCTGCGTGTTCATGTAGGTGGTGCTGTATATTCAGCACAATAAACATTCATTTAGAAGAAAATGTGACAGTAATATTAAAATATAATTGATTCCTAATATAATGTTATGAAACAAAATGGTAAACAATGCAACACACTAGTGGACACATATTAACATTGACAAGAATAATTTAGTAAAGATTTTTGATATCATTCCATTGAATAAGATTGGAAAAATACAATTTTACATCTCCAACATTTTTTGCTCTGTTTCCAGTAAAAAGTTGCCCTACGCCGCAGACCATACAGCGGGGCAGTCAAGGGACCACAGATGGCCTTGTCTTCTCTACCCTACAGTATACCTGTGACATAGGCTACGAGTTCACCAACAATGAGACCACAATGACAGTCGCCTGTAACACCAGCGCCCTCTGGAATGAGACGCTGTCGGACTGCCGCAGTGAGTTATGCACCTTCACTTGAACTCTATAATAAGTCCAACTTTAAGTTTCGAACAAATGCTAAAGAAAGTCTGTAAATATTGAGGCCTACATGTAGGCCTACATGTAGGCCTACTCTCATCACAGATTTTGAATCACTTTTAGAATATCTATTCCTAAAGCCGATTTTTTTTTTTTTTTTTTTGTCTTTTTTTAAACCTCATGATTTAAATGCATTTCTTTGGAAGAGATCTGTTTTACAAGTCACCCAATTTTGTATCGGTAAAAGGCGGCACTGCATAGGTTTCGTTTGCATTTTAGCTCACACATACCACGGAAATTTAGCGAAGAACCTTTACATATAGGGTGTCATAAGTAAAGATTCTGTATTATTGTTAAAGTCCACGAAAGGCTAGCAAAGTGTTACTATCATTCTAGTACGCTCTCTATCTTGCCGCTACGCCACCTCACGTTATACGTATAACCCTCCACGCTTTAAACTCCACAATTGGTACGCAGGGCGTTCGCTTATTTGCCGATTGGCCGGATTTTTTTATCATGAGTGGGATATATTTGAGTCACAAAACATTATGAAATAGTTCAATTGACTTTTGAAAACATAAAGCTGCGCAATCAGAGACATGCGTGACCTACTTTTATTACAAAGCACGTGTAAGGATGCTTTGAACAGCAAACTTCCCGCCAAATTTTAACAGGCGACTCCTTCACAGACATGGGGAAAGTAAATTTACATACATAGCACAGAGTCATTTAAGGATAAGCATTATGAGATATTGTTCATGAGCACGCTGATAGCAGGTCATTGGAAATTATAAAGCTTCTCCATACCCTTTGAGGTCTTTGAAGAATCATCAGTACACTTGCTTCAAAATGCCATCTCTTAACAGTATCTTGTTATGTACCTTTACATATACATATGAGATGAATGTCCTAAACTTATATAATTTAGAACGCTTAATTCAAGCGTGGGCTCGAAATAGGACATTACGTTTTAGACTTACTCAGTGGATAACGCAATTCAAAATTCCACGGTTCGTGTCAGATTTACGTGAGGTCGCGCAAAGAAAACCCAAGTCCACATAATGACCAGTTTAATGGTTTATTGGTTGACGATCTCTAACTACATGTTCTATACGTGAAGCCTCCAACTTCTAAGCCGTCTCCCATAGCTCCGTCGAGCGGTCACCTTCGAGTCTTCTTCAGTCTGCCCCCAATATTATTTCTAGACGTCTTTTATACGTATTTCTTATCTATAGGTGGATTCTGTGCTGCAGTATTTGGCGGTGCATACTAATTTTAATTATTCAAATTGCACACGTCCACTTAAGTTAAATGACTACAGGTAAGGCCATAAAACGAGTCGAGTGCACAAGCAATCGACTCTAATCAAATTAATTTACATGTCTGGGAATTATATTTGTGAACACTACAATCTTCTGATCTTCAGATTTACCTGACTGGTCACTGAAATAGTCTTTGATGAAATATATTTACGAGTTAACTTATATTCTAGTTAAAGACTGTGTGGCCGTCCCGGTGATAGCAAATGGCTGGTCCTGGAGCAATCCCAGCACCACGTATGGCTCAAGCGTACGGTTTGGTTGTAACTTTGGGTACACCTTCTCAACTGGAGACTACTACTTCTACACCCAGTGTGATAATACAAAACAATGGACGCCTGCAGTACCAGCTTGTATAAGTAAGTGTACCGTCGTTTAAGTATGCATGGGTGTTCTCTGAAGCAAATGTAAAGAACTGCAGAAAACTCTCCTTAAATAGTTGCATCTTTCAAACAGGTATTACCCACTGGTTCCTTTTGTTGATAAAACCATGTGTTTGTTCACTGGGTAATATTTACAAAGTACTCTAAATCATTTTTCCAATCCTGCCAGCTATTGGATGCACCACGCCCCCTCTGGTGACCGACGCCTACATGAACTACACTAGCACTGGGTTAGGAGACCAGGTGAACTACACGTGCTTGGCTGGGTATGTGTTCCCGGATGAAAATACCACCAAGTCTGCAGTGTGTATTGGGAATGGGCTGTGGGATCCCGTCGTCCCATCTTGTGAAAGTAAGTGCTGACAGCTGTACCTATGGAACCATTTATCCACAATGCTTCTCTCAGAACACATGAACACAGAATAGAAATGAGAGAAAAGATAAAAAGAAATGAAAAAGGGAACTACTGTCTCATAGTATACTATTGAAGAAAATGAAAATGTTATGCTTTAGAAATATGCAAGTATGTGCAAGATTCAATATGTTACGTTCCTCTTAAATAATTTTTGTAATCTTTAAGACTGAAGACCCAAATGCAATTGATAATGACTGTTTTTATCTTCAGCTTGTTTCTCATTTATTTGCTTTACTTATTTCCAGAGAAATATGTGCAGTGTCCAAGCATCATGCCAATGTCCCACGTCACAGTGGAAGGGAATGGCACCATAGCCTACTCACAGGTGACACTGACATGTGATGATGGGTACAGGTTCCCCAATGATACCAACGCAGTCACAGGGTTAAAAGTGCAGGAGATACAGTGCCTTTATGGGCAGTGGAACGGCACTTTAATGGCTTGTCAAAGTATGGAATTTATATCAACCACTTTTTGTTTCTAAACTAATATACTTGTCAACATCACAGTCTTTTCCAAAGATTAGAACAATATTCACATTGACCTGTAGGAAAAGTTTTCAAAAGGCTTTGTTTATAACTTTTGAAAACTGACACAATTTAAAAAAGAAATTAACAAAAATATAATTGATGATTGCAGAATTGCCTTTAGTATCCCATATATGTGTATTTTCTCTCCAGTCCTGTCATGTGGTACTGTGCCAGTGTATAATAATATGAGTGTGGTAGCCAGTGGACAGCTATATGGAGACACAGCCACATACACATGTCAGACCAATGGTACCATGTTCCCAGATGGTAGCACAGAGAGAACTGTTAGATGTGTAGATAGAGGATGGAGCCCCAGCAGTTTGCCAAACTGTCAAGGTACTTGTAGGACTCAAATCCCTGGAATTATGTCAGAGTGTGTTTAAGTTAGGAGGCATGGCTAAGTTCACTGCCAGCAATGTATTGGAGTCCTAGAAAGTTGTCTCTGTAAGCAAGCATTTGTAAGATTTGCAGTTCTTGTAGTTTAGACATCTTTTTCTTGCAACTGCCAAGGAGTGAAAGGAGACCTGGTAGTTTGTTTCTGTATATAATATGCATTAAAACCACTCTGACACTATGAAAAAGGCTTTTCTCTGTAATGGGTTACCGTATATTTAATTATTCACTTATTTTCCTGTCCAGTTTAAAACTTAAAATGGACCTAATTGCATCAAAGATATTTTCAACCCTTCAATCCTCACTGTCATTGACAAAATTTCATTGTAGGTACACAAACAACTGTGTCAGTAAAGGCGCCAGTCATAGTACCAGTGGAGGCTGCAGTGGAAGTAGTTGTTGCCACGGCAACTGTTCCCATGGCACTGGTTGGGGGCATGCTTGGCCTAATGGTTTTCTTGGACCTTGCAACAATAGGAAAACACTTAGCAAAAATGAAAGAAAACCTGATGCATTTCAAGTACAGGTTAAACAATGAAACTCCTCCTGTCAAGAAGAAAAAGAAGAAGGAAGAAGTAGCAGTTGTGTGTAAACATTGTAAAGAAGAAGGGCACAAAAGCCGTGATTGCCCTATCTGCAAGTATTGTAAATCTACAGAGCACTCCCACAAGGATTGTTATTTATTGAAGACTTACTGTGATAACTGTGGCTACCATGGACACACCCCTGATGAATGTGACGACTCTGATGTAGAGAGGATCAAGGAGGAGGACGAGGAGGAGGAGGAAGAGTATGATGACCAGAAGGTCAAACGCAAGGGAAAACGCAAAAAGAGTTTTGACAGTGGTATCATCCATGACTGGGCTGAATGGGATGGCCTGATGGCCGTCAGAGACATGGCTGTGGCGTGCGAGTTGCCAGAATTGCCGCGAGATGACTTCAAATTCAGACGAGCCTTAAGCTGCCCACCAAGAATGAAAAAGATTACTCATCAAGAATTGATGACCACCACAATGGTAGTGGACACCAGCTTTGTCCCCATTCCTGGGCCAAAGGACGACTACCGTCCAGTATTCTCACCAACTGAAAGAGCTCGGAATGTACAGCCAGCTTGGCAGGAATATTTGCGATGGGATGTGGACTGCCAAATCCTGACCCCAGCACACACCCCTCTGCCAGAAGAGATAAGGGTGCCCACCCCTGTATACAGGTCTGTCATGACCCCAACTGCTGTACCTCACACACTGAACACACAGAGGCAGAATTTAGATAGGACACTTTTTTCAAGTGGTGATACTCCTATTCCAATGGATATAGCTGAAATGAAAATCCACAAGGAAATTGTATCTAGCCCAATAAAAGAGGTCACTGTACCTCTGTCACAGTCTGTAAAAGAACCACCTGCCACAGAAGAAGTGTCTGTTGATCTCTCAGAGAAACTGGCTCCAAGTGCCACCACCAGGGTACACAACATGATGTTCAGTCCTGGAGAAACACCAGTGCCACAACACATGGCAGAGATAATACTAGAGCGAAAACAGTCATCACCCTACTTGGAAGGATTTCCACTGCAAACTATGCCAGAGGATGACAATCTCAGTACAATGACTGATTCTACCATCGGAATTGATGAAATTGAAGAAGAACTAATGAAGCTTGCAGAGGATGAGTTGGAAGAAATGAACAGAGTTTGCAGTCAGGCCAAAAAGTCCCAAATTAGCAGACATGAACAGCAAAATGAAAAACCTCAGAAGGAGGCCGGGTCATCAAAAGAAACCAAAAATACAGCCACACCATCATCTGTCATTTTTGAAGATCAGAAGGTAAGACCACTGCTGAGCCCAAGTACATCTCCAGTGCCCCCACCTAGAAGCAAGAGAGAGATCAAGTCCTCTGCCGCAAAATGGACTCCAGCAGATAGAGACAAGCCTGTTTTTACACCTCTTGCTGATGTTGATCCTTCTCAAACTATAAAGATAAAAAGTATTGAACAAACAATACCTGAAACTGATGAAGACAAAATCCTTGAGGAAAAAATAGCTATGTCTCTTGCCAAACACTCCTCATCACCAACATATATAAAATGTCAAGAGCAACGTCAGCGTCAGTTGATGACACCAACAATATCTCCAGTGCCTCCACCAAGGAAGAAGAAAGATGTGAAGGCAGCATTAATCTTGGACAATAGACCATTGTTCACTCCACTTCAGATGACAGACCCATCTCAAGCAGTTTCCCAGTCTGATTTTGACACTGAAAATATCCATGGCATAAGTGATCACAACATGGAACCCATAAGTAAACCAGTTACACCAACATCTCAGGCAGTAAAAGAAGAAAGTATTGAACAAACTATACCTGAAACAGACGAAGACAAAAATCTTTGAGGAAATGAGAGCTATGTCTCTTGCCAAACAATCTGTATCCCCAGCATATATAAAAAGTCAAGAGCAACGTCAGCGTCAGTTGATGACACCAACAATATCTCCAGTGCCTCCACCAAGGAAGAAGAAAGATGTGAAGGCAGCACTAATCCTGGAAGATAGACCTATGTTCACTCCACTTCAGATGACAGACCCATCTCAGGCAATATCCCAATCTGGATGCGATACTGAAAATATCCACGGCATAAGTGATCACAACATGGAACCCATCAGTAAAGCAGACAGTCCAACATCTCAGCTTATGTCAGACCAAAGCAGACTTCAAATTATGTCTCCTTCTATCTCAGCAATCCCCATGTTTGTCAATAATACAGATAAAAAAACAGAATGGAGGATGATCTTTGGAGACAGATCGCTATTTACACCTTTCTATGAAGGCAATGCAGGTTCCATCATGGGAAAAAATTTAGAGACCACTAGGCCAGAGGAAGGACAAGCCCCCCAAACACCATCAACAGAGGACCATGTACATGCAACGCATACAATCAGTGATAGAGATGGTGCAGCATCTGATGTTTCAACCAGAGAAATCCATGTTGCAGAAAAAATGCCAATTGCCTTTTCTGATTATCAGAAGCCTCTTTCTCCAACCACAATTGCAGTCAATCAGCAGAGGGCGAGACAAGTCATTAGTCCATCCATATCACCAGGGCCTGCTCCCAGAGCTAAGAAACCTTCTGAGTGGAAGACAATCTTCAAAGACAGGCAGATGTTCACCCCATTTCATGAACCAGATCGCACGCAGCACATTAATGATGACAGTGTCAGTGATAAAGAAGAATTTTATGACAGTAATGAAGGTGCTGATAAGGAATCTTTTGAAAGTGTTAGTCCAGATTTGGAAGCAGAAAAAGAGCATAAGGAGGCAGTCATGGCGAGGGCCTGTTTGTTTTCTTCAATGGCCATGGCAGATGACTCTCAAATCAAGAATCGTCGCTTGCCCACTCTGCCATTGGGTAGGCCTGTGGCTAGTCCAACAGAACAGTTTAATGAAACCTCATCATTTAATACTGTGAATGATGACAGAATATTCACACCCACTATTTTACAGCCAGACCCACTTCTGATGAGATCTAGCATAAACCCGCTGAAGTGTTCTGCTGATCTTGACCGCTGCTTCACTCCACTATCAGAAGATGTCCATACTTTTTATGGCACCAGGCTAAATTTAAACCAAGACCGTTTTATCACTCATTCTCCTGAACCTGAAAGAAGACCAGCAGATTCCCCACCCCCCTCTCCAGTTCCTGAGAAGCCACCACCCCCCACACCAGACCCCTTTGTTAACATAGATCCTTTCATGTTACAGGAAGGTATGTTTACACCAATACAAGTTGATAATGAAGCCACAGAAGTTGAGGACCATGCTCGACTTCAAAATGTAATGACACCATTTTATGACGATGCTCTGTTAATAAAACCAAATGATCCTCGTCTACGTAAGAATCTCCCTAACTTTGTTCAGAACTTAAATTTCCAAACATTTACTCCGACTCACTCTCCTGAACCTTGCAGTGACAGACAGACATATGGGCCAGCACTGTCACCAACAGAATTTATAGAAGATGGTGATCGTTTATCTCCAGTTTCTGATGTCTCACTTCCATCATTTGAAGATGATGATGATGAAATTTTCCCCTCAGAATATTACAATGTTCCTGTTTTTACTCCCATCGGAAATGAATTCCCCCAGCCTGATAAACATCCAGGAAATAATCGCCAACTTCTCACTCCCATGTGTGCTCTTGAACCTTGTCAGAGGATCAAGCCAGCAGAGCCTATAACAAAAATGAAAGATTTCCAAGGGAAGCCTATGAGTCCAACAGAGATGGTTCCAGATGAACAAGACCAGGTGACCAAGGGTCGTCCACAGCTCTTCACACCACTGTTTGCTGTTGATCCCACACAACACTTCAAACCAGGTGACAGAATGACACCAGAGAAAGATAAACCATACAACCCACTGAAGAACCTAGTTGATAGACCTATCAGTGCATCAGAAACACCTTATGCTGACCCTAAGGTATCAGTACACCACGGGTACAATTCCCCTGTGGATGATAACCAGCAGAGAAGACCCCCAGACTCCCCACATGAATGGCCCTGGGAACACAGCCAGAGGGGACTCATTACCCCTCTTGACATGCCAGACCCCGTGCAGATGATTAAAAACAGGGGTTTACAAGAATGGAACATGGAAAAGCCACCCCTTCGATTGAGCGAAAGATATAAAACACTAATTTCACCTGACCAGTTTTACCCCCTTCCCAGTAACCCAGAGGAAAAGCCAAGTACACCAGAGGTATTAATGTACCCACCCCACTCCCACTATGAGAATCCTTTGAAAGAGTACATGCCAACTGCCATAAGTCCCTCTAGCTCCCCTGTTCCACAACAGAAAGGAACCAATGCCATACAGCAACATCTGGAACTTTCCCCAGACAACATTCCAGATAGTGCACAGATAGTGAAAGAAAGGCGAGCAGATTGGCCTTACATGAAGGAATCCAGACCTCTGTTTACACCCCTGGGAATGCCAGACCCCACCCAAATGATACAAAACCGTGGTCTGGTAGAATGGAGAATGGAAGAAAGTAAGCCTATAGATCATCAGGAACACTATGTCAGTATGATGACCCCAGAACCATTCCAATCCAGAAATGGCACAACAACGAAGCCGGTGGAGCCTGAAGTCTACATCCCCCCTTATACCCCTCCCCCTGAGAAAGTGCTGTACACACCACCAAGCAGTCCTAAAGAAGAAAGAAAAGTAGTAGAACCTAGCAAGGCAAGGGCTTCAAAATGGCTGGAGAAGAAAAAGAAAGAAATAACAGACAACAATGTAAAGAAAACAATGTGGCTACAAAAGATGGCCAAGCCCAAAGTTGATTCCTTAACATCAACTCCAGACACCCGTCCCCCTGGTGCCTCCCCAAGGATACAAATGACAACGGCCACCCCCAGTGCCACACCAGAGCCAGGAATGGCAAGTGTAAACCTTTATACTGGCAGCAACTTTTTGAGCCCAAAATCTGCCAAAACTCTTGCTTCAACCATAGAAGAAGAGGAATCAGGTAAAGGGCACAAGAAAAAGAAAAAAATAAAGAAAAAGATAACCAAGGCATTACTATCAGTAGCTATGGCAGAACACAGTGCTGAAGAAAATGGCTCTGTTGATGCTACTGATACCAGCAGCATAAAACCAAAAAAGAAAAAGAAGAAGAAGACTTTAGTATCCAGTGTGGTTGACGCTGCAATAGCTTCAAATATTGAAGAAGAGAAGGAAAGTGCAGTTGAAAGTACTGCACCAGAGGGCTATGTGACAGGTGACACCTTAAGTGTACCCAATTTGGATCCTGCACCAAATACTGAAGGAGAACAAACCACTCATCCTGACCACACTGAACAAGGGCCAGGGACAACAGCTGATGCAGTCGAGGTCTCTGTAGAGGATTCAAAAGATTCATCACAGACATTGCAGTTACCTAGTTTAAGTCAAGCAAATATACACACAGATAAAATTGATCAGGAATTACCCCCTGTAGATGGTAACCAACAGTCAAATGAAAATGATAGTGTGTTACCTCAAGAAATTCAAAATACAAGCAAAAAGAAGAGAAAATCCAAGAAAAAATCCCAGACATCTAGCAACCAGACAGAGGTAGAAAGTTTGCCAGCTGAGGAGGCTTCAAACTCTGCAACTTTTCCAAATGTGGAACCCTCGGCAGCAAACCAACAAAATCTTCAACCAGGACATGAAAAGGCATCTGGTTTAGTTCCCGAATCCCTCAACCAAGAGCAAGACCAACCAACCCAACAAGCAAATGACTTAGTGACCAGACAGGTACCCCTTGCAGAGGTGGAAATAAAAGATGAAACTGTTCCAAAAAAGAAAGTATCCCATAAAGCTGAAAATCCGACAACGGAAGTAAATAAGCCGGCTGCTGATGGTTCTGTTAGTATTGACATGTCACAAGTTGAGGAGGCTGTGGCTACAGAACCCATAGCCACTGGGGCTGGGTTGGTGGCAGTGGCAGCAGTGGCTAAAATTAAGAAAAAGAAGAAGAAGAAAAAGGTGCAGCAGTCACTTCCACAGGATGCTGAGGCTAATATTGACAATAATGCAGACCATGGACAAGAGTTTGCTGTCAATGAAACAACTGCCTCATTGCATATTGAGAGTGAAACCATTCCACAAGATGGAAATAAAAAGAAGAAGAAAAGGAAGAAATCTGTAGCATCCAGTGAGGTGGTGGCAAGCAGTGAGGACACCAGTGGTGTGAGCCACGGTGTGACCCAGCCTGATGTTGAGGGCACAGATACAGCTGTTAAACCAAAAAAGAAGAAAATAAAGAAGAAAGCTGTTTCCAAAAATACAGACATTCAGTCAGATCAGCCACCTAGTGGTGACCCAGCAAATCACCAAGATCAAACTGCAGATCATACAAATAACCCCCAGACCCCAGGGCCACACACCCAGCATCTGCACAATAACTTTCTGTCAGACTTGGACAATGCTGCTCAGAATGTGGTCACTTCTCCAAGGAGAAAAAAGAAAAAGGAAGCCACTGACACTCCTCCTCAGATCCAAAGTGTGGATGGCACCCCACTGGGGCATTATGAAGACACCTCTATAGTGTAATGAACCACCCGCTCTTTGTGTTAGTAATTTTGACACGTTTGAGAAGGCAATATTTTAAAAAATTGCATAACATTTTATTTGTTGTTGTATTTCGTATACTGTAGGCATTGTTACAAAAAGGACAACATGTTTATTGCATAACAACATTTCATCTTACTCTGTATTCTGTCCACAGTGGGGTTTCCAAATGTACATATTTCTCTGCAGTGTATATATATTTATTATAAAGACTCACCAAGTATACAGTTTAATGGTGGTACAGATTTCCAGGGCATCCTGTCATACACCTGTAAATAACTAATTATTGGTATTATATTGGCCCTGAGTAAAACCCTGAAAAATGACAGCAGCTATGACTTTGTCTGAATCTGTATTCTCATTTGAAATTGAATCTAGCAAGTAAGCATTGTAACAAGTTTTTGTTAAACCTAGATATTCTAAAGAATTAAATTATTTTAACTAAAATTTAAATTATATTTTCTTGTGACAATTAATATATCTAGTTTGACTAAAAACATGTAGAATGACTTGATAAAAAGATGTTATATAACTTCATTTGGAATGCTTTTATTACCAACAAACATTTGAAGCTTTGAAATATATTTAAAAGTAAAATTCAGTTCTTGTATACCACTCTCCACATGCCTCTCAGCTTGGTTTACAGTATACGCACACCTGGTTAGTTTTGACTCTGATCCAGGTGTCATCTTTCGTGACTCTGGGGATGATACAGCCTGGGTGTTGTGTTGGGTGCTGAAAGCTAACAAACTAACACCATCACTTACTGCCAGACCTGGTATTGTACCCCTGCTGCCATCCCTAAATATGGAGGCCCATGAGGGGAGATGGCAGGTACCATTTATGAAAGTACTGGTATGTCCCCAGATGGGTCAAACCCATGTCTTCCTGCTCCGTGAGTAGACACTGATCACAACGCCATCTGTTGGGTATAATAGATTAGCTGTAGCAAGCAGCATATATTTAAGTTTGTCCAAGTTTTTCACAGCCTGACCTGCACTTTACCACAGAGAACCTTCAGATAAAGTAAAGATAATACACAAACACACATTTAAAAATCCTTGAAGTATAAGTCAATTCTGGCAAAGCCTGGGGGTATACTACTGGTTATGGGAACAAAAAGTGAAACCTTTTTTGATAGTTTTCTCAGTATCATTTTTCACCCTTAATTTAACAGTGGCTATCACACAATCTCTAATACAACAGTGCAACAAGTCTAGAGCTAAGACAAAATACTCCATCACTGCTAACACATTTATTGATCTATAGAGAGAAATAAATCATTAATATTACATTTTGGCTTAAACAGTTTTTGGGGGGAAATGCTAAGATTTTTTCAATGCTTTTCAAAATATACAGTTAAACACTACTGAAATGAAAAAGAAATGTTCTGTGTGATCATGATGACTCAAAAAGAAAGTGTGACAAAATGAGTTTCTAAAAAGATTGTTGGCCTTTGTGTTAGGCACAACACACGACAAAGGTAAAAACTTTTATCGGTTCCCCAATCATAATCCTGATATTTAACATGTAAATATTCCACATACTTGCACTGAAAATATCCCAAAATGTACATATCTGGTTTTATGATCTCCTCTAAATGGAGCAGAGTAGACATAGTTGCACTGCAAATATTTCAATCTGTGTATATAAGGCAGTATTGTCTCCTCTCAATGGAGTCAAGTTAACATAAGTGAAGAAGTGTCTACAAATATCCTGGTGCTCTTTATCAAGAAAGCTGATTATTTTGTAAAGACTTAAGGCTTGCTATAGTGTCAGCACAAGTCTTGATCAAGCTACACAAATGGATGCTGGTTTCTATACACTGACATGATTTCAGTTGATCTGTGGCCCAGGCCAGTTTATCACACACTACTGCCAAGGGGGGCATCAACCACAGTGTTAGCAGTTAGAGCAATGAGTCCACTGGAGACTTCCCTTCTACTATCTCCAGGTTGACAGTTAACACCAGACAGACCAGCCACCTGCTGTGTCTGTGAGAGAACACTGACAGAGACTGGAGCAGTGAGAGGAGCAGCTGCCTCCATAGGGCTGTCACTGGAGGATTGCGGTAGGTGTGATCTGGGAAACAATCCATACTCTCTCTCATGAGACCTAGCTGCCTCTGTGTTCACGGCTGAAAACAAAAAAAAATTCATTTTATACAGACTGTGTGATGCTAGTGAAAGAGAATGCACATCTCTTGACTGAAGAAAAAAATTAATCAACCAGAATATATCTGTAGACAGCAATGCCAATTTTCTTTGTTAAACTAAGCCCATAGAATTTCTATCCAACAACCAGGTATATAAAGTTATGAAATAAATTAAATCCAAGAATAAGTATAGCAAAGCCATATGTGTCATTAACCCAGAGAAATGTGTCTTCACTCACCTGGGTTATCCTTGTCAGTATCTGACTCCAGATCATTGCAGCCAACACAATAATCCTGAGACTGGCGATCACGCAGTAAAATGGTCTGTAAATTGAAATACACAGTTATACAGTACTTTAGGCTATATAACATACCAAGTAGCTGGTTTGACATCTTTGGGGGCATGTAGTAAAACAGTTTGTATATTATTAATATTACAAAATCGTATGCGGAACATAAGCCTTGAGTGTTAAAGTTGTCTGTACATAATTAATAAAATACTTGGTATACAATATATAGACACTTGTGACTATGTCATTGTTGCCTGACATTTTGTTACCACTAGAAGTGGTGATCACAAAGACAGTCAAAGACAGAAGTCTGTAAATACACATACGCTCAGAAATTGTACTGCTTCTAAAGAAAATAATTTTCACATAGCAAATTAGCAAAAACACATATAAATGCATCTATAAAATCCAATAAAAAATGTAAACATTTTCATCACCATCTTTTATGCAATAAATAAAAGTTTAATATAAATATAACTTGCTCTATGACAACTCACACCACAAAGTTCACATGAAGAGCCCAGCATCTTATATCCCTTTAGAAGATAGTCTCCCATTATTTTACTGATCTTGTCAGAGCGTTCTCTTCTGGCTTGGATTAACTTCATTTCTGCCTCACTTGGGGGCTGCCACTCATAGTCATCATCTGAAGTGATAAAAACACAAAAAAGTCTTTACACGATTATCAATAATACAGTACATGAAAGAGAATAGTTTTCTCCACTCTTAATGTGGAGCTGCCACTCATAGTCATCATCTGAAGTGATTAAAACAAAATAGTCTTTACATTATCAATGTAGACTCTGATAAACATACAAAAATAGTATTTACATGATTATCAATGATACGGTACATGAAAGAGAATAGTTTTCTCTTCTCTTAATTGGGGGCTGCCACTCATAGCCATCATATTAAGAAAACGGATGACGGTCAAATATGCAGCACTGAAATTCCATGAGAAGATTCAGTTCTTTTATATATGCCAATTCTTAAACTTATCATTAGAGAAATATACCAACGCGTAGGGTCCGAGTTTTAAAGCGTGGTGTTTAGCCGGCCGGTGTTTAACACGAGGGTAGTTCAACTGAACAGTGTAACACTGTCAATGATGAGGCCAACGAATGCAATCCTTGCTTTCTTAATATTATTTTCAAAATCAAGTGACAGTTTAAGGGGGGGGAGCAAACAGCAGACTTGATGTACCGTAATTAATATGATGAAACAGACTTTCACACGAGCAAAAGTGACCTGTATCCTGGGTCTCAACAAGCGCTACTCACCAGAGGACATATCGAAACATAGGCTTAAAACAACGTAAAAGTAGAAATAATAAGTTGGACAAAAGTTTTATATATCAACGCATTGTGTTGTAAAAATGAAGCTTTATGCTTAAATGATATGATATTGCAGAGCAATTGTCTTGACATAAATTAGCTTAATTAAATTCCAATAATACTGCAGTTTTTAAGTTGATCTAAGCGACTGGTTCAGCGCATGTGCACCGGCTCGCGCCGTGCCGCGAAAGGAAAGTCCTTTATGATGTACACTCCACAAGCAGGAGGAAAGGGAACTCCATTCTCCCCCTTTGGTGGTGGAAGAAGCTCTAAATCAGCAACACAAGGGAGGCGCAGTGTCAGTTTATTCACCCCACAAAGAAAAACGCCTTATAGCACCAGGTAAGTCTAAAATTCATGATATACCGAGGACCGGTGTAGTCTGAAGAGTAGACGGCGAAGTATTTGCTTTGCGATGACTTCTTATTATAATATATGGCGCTGGTAATAAAACATTTAAAAATCAGTAAGTGAATATATCCTAGTCTCTGAAGCTTTTCCATCTCTTCCCTCTTCCCTGGATCCAGTCGTAAACTGCAGACCTCCCAAGTGGTGGAAGAAACGGCACAACACTGCGTGGAGAGTTACGGCACTTCACTTCCAGTGCTGGTCACAGAGACCCTGACCCTCGCAGACCGTGAGTACTGTTCTCCTTATGCCGTTGTATAAAACCTTGATTCAAGCTGTTCATAAATACTTTTCTCTATATACCATTCACTACTGACTAAACCTATTTCAAGCTGTGCATAAATACTTTTCTCTCTATACCATTCACTACTGACTAAACCTATATCCTAACTGACCGTAGGTAGTTTACATAAAATCATTAATGTCTGTCACTGAACTCTTGATTCTAACTGGCCATAAGGCCCCCTTTACACAGAGCTGTCTTTCAGTTCATGGTTGGTTTCTTCATAAGCTTAACAAAATGTATAGGAGTTTTTATACAGCATTTTCAGTAGTGTGTGGTTTTAATTTTCTCTTTTGGTTAGCCTGCTCCTGCTACAGGAATTCTTTTTTTTTTTTTTTTGACATGTAGTGACATTTTCTTGTTGTACATCTCTGGATCCTTTTTGAACAATCCCACCATGATATCCTCTTCTTCATCTGTAAGGTTCGAAAACACCCTTTTTCTTTTCCTCTTGAATTGGGATCCTGTTTCAGAGATATCGTTATCAATGTTTGACTTACACACAGTCTCATGAGGTCTATGCCAGCACTACTTGAGGATTGTTGTCTTCCTGTAGGTTCAGCGGATATTTCTGTGAAGATAGAGCCGTCAGGATGGACATGGCTTGTCCATGGAAGAAGGTTGTTTGTCTGGAGATTTAAGGGCACAAGTGTTGGAAAGGTAGTTTTTATTATTATTTTATAAGTAATATCTGGACAAACTTTTGTAACAGACGGACTCTCTGGTTGTGTAAAATGACTTTATTGCTACAACTAAAATTTTCACCCTGTAATAAAGGTGGCATATAATTAAATAAAATGACACACAACAAATAACTTATAATTCTATAGTTTACCTCTATGATAAGGAAATAATAAATTTGATATAGATAACTACGGTTTATAAAGGCTATAACGGCTTACCCTGATCTTATTCAAGGGCGTTTAGAAAGAGTGCTGGATATACCAATGAATACGGCTTGGTCTGAAAACTAAAGAGTAGAAAACGATGTAATACAGTATAGTATAGTATAGTGGAGTTGGATACGCAAAAGACAAGATAAAATATAACTAGAATTAACTAGACGACATCCAACTTACCACATAGAAACAGACAGACGAACAGCAACTTCAGCACTATTTGAAAATACGACGCCAATGCCTTTTATAATGTGAAGTCACATGACAAAGACGCGGGAAGACAGAACAAAGGGACATAGACAAAGGAACAGACAAAGGAACAATTAGAGGGCGTCAGAGTCACATCAAGTCACAAGACAAGACGAGTGACGAGTGCATATTTACACATAGTTACACTTTGAAGTGTTTTGCATGCTGTTTTTGTTTGCGTATTAATTGCATTTAAAGCCTCCAGTATCATAAGGAAAGAGGAGAATTTAAAGATTGTCAGAGACCTTCATTATAATGAACTGGCTATAAATTATTTAATTCCTAAAACTTAATCTGGTTAATATCATTTTCTTTTATATTGTTGCTATTGTAAAGAAATACTAAATTTGTAATGGAATGTATTTATTTCTAGAGTTCACAGTGTAAAGAACTCACCTTACCTCCCAGTGATCTGGTCCATAAAGCAGACCGAGTGTGTATAATTCCCACAGGAGATCAGCTAGCTGCCTGTATAGCAGTGTCGGCAGAGGGGGTGGTGAGGTTCTGGCAAAACATCGCACATGAGGGTTCTTTTATAGAGACAAGTGCTGATTTGAAGGGAGAGGTGACTGGAGTGCTGATAGATATGATGGTAGGTATGCAAGGGTCTTCAGTTGACAGGGTATTTTTTACCAATATGTTAACAAGGTGCACATTCTGACAAGTGGACGTGATATATATAACCCACATAATATCATAATTCTTTGTGAAATGCTGACATATGACACATTATCAAGATCCATATTCTGACATTATGACACATACATATTATCATGGTGCATACTAAGTGTCAGGTCACCTCTCTGTGGCACTGACATGTAGACATGGCTGACTGAAGTGTTATTCTGACATTATGACATGATATAGGACACATACATATTATCATGGTGCATACTAAGTGTCAGGTCACCTCTCTGTGGCACTGACATGTAGACATGGCTGACTGAAGTGTTATTCTGACATTATGACATGATATAGGACACATACATATTATCATGGTGCATACTAAGTGTCAGGTCACCTCTCTGTGGCACTGACATGTAGACATGGCTGACTGAAGTGTTATTCTGACATTATGACATGATATAGGACACATACATATTATCATGGTGCATACTAAGTGTCAGGTCACCTCTCTGTGGCACTGACATGTAGACATGGCTGACTGAAGTGTTATTCTGACATTATGACATGATATAGGACACATACATATTATCATGGTGCATACTAAGTGTCAGGTCACCTCTCTGTGGCACTGACATGTAGACATGGCTGACTGAAGTGTTATTCTGACATTATGACATGATATAGGACACATACATATTATCATGGTGCATACTAAGTGTCAGGTCACCTCTCTGTGGCACTGACATGTAGACATGGCTGACTGAAGTGTTATTCTGACATTATGACATGATATAGGACACATACATATTATCATGGTGCATACTAAGTGTCAGGTCACCTCTCTGTGGCACTGACATGTAGACATGGCTGACTGAAGTGTTATTCTGACATTATGACATGATATAGGACACATACATATTATCATGGTGCATACTAAGTGTCAGGTCACCTCTCTGTGGCACTGACATGTAGACATGGCTGACTGAAGTGTTATTCTGACATTATGACATGATATAGGACACATACATATTATCATGGTGCATACTAAGTGTCAGGTCACCTCTCTGTGGCACTGACATGTAGACATGGCTGACTGAAGTGTTATTCTGACATTATGACATGATATAGGACACATACATATTATCATGGTGCATACTAAGTGTCAGGTCACCTCTCTGTGGCACTGACATGTAGACATGGCTGACTGAAGTGTTATTCTGACATTATGACATGATATAGGACACATACATATTATCATGGTGCATACTAAGTGTCAGGTCACCTCTCTGTGGCACTGACATGTAGACATGGCTGACTGAAGTGTTATTCTGACATTATGACATGATATAGGACACATACATATTATCATGGTGCATACTAAGTGTCAGGTCACCTCTCTGTGGCACTGACATATAGACATGGCTGACTGAAGTGTTATTCTGACATTATGACATGATATAGGACACATACATATTATCATGGTGCATACTAAGTGTCAGGTCACCTCTCTGTGGCACTGACATGTAGACATGGCTGACTGAAGTGTCAATCCTCAAGCAGCTCCTAAGTATGCAACAGAAACATGGTGTTTCAGGGGTTCTTGCCTTTAAGAAGGGGCATGTGAATTAGTATAAACACCAGACAATAAGTACATTGTAGTTGTCATTTGTTTTTTCATTATTTCAAAATTTAATGGATAAAAACAAAACAGTTGTCTTAATTTCAGTGAAATGTTGAATTATAGTTAACAATAATTAAATAGTCTTTGATTAAATTTTGAAGATACACTATGAACATGTGTTTAATATTTGTAATTTTGTATAGGAAGCACGAAATCGATTTCTTCTGTATTAGATGAATATATGTGTAATATTGATTTATTATAATTTGTAAGCCCCATGGCTGTCTGCTAGCCAGTACTACAAGCACAGTGATGCTTCTACGCCCAGGACATGTAAGTTAACATGCATGCAAGCACATGCTCACGCACACGCACACACACACAGACACATACACAGACACAAGTACCACAAGCACGGTGATGCTTCTACGCCCAGGACATGTAAGTTAACATGCATGTATGCATGCAAGCACACACACACACACACACACACACACACACACACACACACACACACACACACACACACACACACACTAACACAAAAAAAATTTGAAATTATGGCATACTTATATAATAAAGATTGAATTAATGATTTCCCAAAGGTGATATAGGAGGTGAGGAAGTAGAAAGAAAAAAAAAGAGATGGATGATAAGCACATTGTTGAGAGTAGATCAATGTTTTGTAAACCTTTTATTAAATAGTTATATAAAATATTCTGTTCATAGCCATAGTGTTGTGTTTATTTCAGCATTCAGTGAGCAAGGTGCCACTGAAGAGCACGGAGGGCATGTTAGCTGGATTTGGAAGAAGGATGTCATCCTTCATTTTTGGTTCTGTAACTGCACAAGCCCTGGGAGCTGTAAGTAGAGTGGGATTAACTAGTTGCCTGGCTTTTAGAAAATATAATAAAATGATAATAAGTGGGATACATAATTATTGTGGGATGCAAATTGAATTCAGTGTTCAAGGTTTGGGGGACAAAGTAGATTTCACTGTACTAGGTTTGGGGGACAAAGCAGATTTCACTGTACTGGGTTGGGGGGACAAAGCAGATTTCACTGCACTAGGTTTGGGGGACAAAGCAGCTTCCAGTATTGTAGGTAAAGATACTGGAATGTATCAGCTGTTGGGGATCAGATATATGTAAAAAGTTTTCATCCTTTAAAATAACAGTTACTTATATATTCTAGCCACTGAAAAAACTTCTTCTTGGAGAAGAAATGGGCCCTTCCTCCTTATCTTTTTACCTGCTGTCAGAAGCACACCTACAGAAGTGGATGTTGAGTGACCCAGGACAAAACAAACTCTTGTATCAGTGTGAAGTGGAAAAACTGGTCACTGAATGTCTTGCAGAAACAATCTGGGTAATATTTTTTCTTCTAAAAATTATACCCTTAAAGCATTCGGGTTATGTTTTCGAATAAGCGGCCTTATTACCTCCACCAAGAAGGTTATGTTTTCACCTCTGTTTGTTTGTCTGTCTCTCTGTCTGTCATGAACATAATTCAAAAAGTTATAAACCGATTTTGATGAACTGTCAGAAGTGGACCAAGGAACAGATGATTAGTTTTTGGTGGTGATCCAGATCAATTATCAATCAATAATAATCAAAAATTGCTGCCTTGGCGGAGGTCTGCCCTCTCAGAGTGCTTTTCAAGTTGTGTTTGTAATTGTAAATGAGTAATAGCACTGTAGAAATAGTGTTTTGAACAGATCTAGAGTAACACAAAAAATTAGTTTTGAATGTAACTATCATTTCCTCTATTTTGCAGGGCCAAGATGCCACACAGCTTCCCCAATTACAGACATGGGTTCTAGATATACAGCTGTCAAAGTAAGATATGATGGATTCTAGGTATACAGCTATTACTGTAAGATGTGATGGATTCTAGGTATACAGCTATTACTGTAAGATGTGATGGATTCTAGATATACAGCTTTTACAGTAAGACCAGACGGATTTCAGGTGCCAGAGTAAGAACGGCTGGATTGTCAGTGTATTATGACACTCTGTTGGTCAGAATATTATTATTTGTCAAGTTCCTATTTGTTTGGAAGCGTATGTTATATCTAGTCTCTGTATTGCAGTGTTCTTCAAATGTGCTCATTTTCAGAGATGGTATTTTGCTGTTGAGTGCAGGAGTGAACCTGGATGTATCTCCTCAAGTACACTATGCTCTAGGTAAGTGTATTCCTCAAATACACTATGCTCTAGATAAGTGTATTCCTCAAGTACACTATGCTCTAGGTAAGTGTATTCCTCAAATACACTATGCTCTAGGTAAGTGTATTCCTCAAATACACTATGCTCTAGGTAAGTGTATTCCTCA